CCACTGGACACTGCTCCCAAAAATGGGTATGGGGAACATCCAAATGCTTAGGAGAAGGTCACCTGAAACTGTGCATTAGATAGGAATGAGAAAAACCAAGGGTATGTCTTCCTAGTCTTCAAAGTCAGCTAAACATGATAATACCATCTATCCCACTGAAATTTCATACATATACTTTACTGCTAATAAGAACATGTAGTTTTTAGGAATACCCACCCCTGAAACACCTGTCAACCTTATTAAGTACTTGACCTTGATGAGGTCATATTCACAACCTATGGGTTACTGATGCTTTGGGTATAGGGAAAAATACATGCCTGTCATCAGTCACATTGACAAAGGGCTGGAGTTAATTTTTGCAGGGTGTGTACAATCAAAAGCAGAAAAAAGATAATATCACATACCTATGGGTTGGAAGGTACCAATCCATTTAATCTAACCACCACTGCCCCTCCCCCCTTCAGCCACCTCAAGGCAACAATGGTGCATTCACAGCTATTACGTTTCAATCAAGCTTGCTTGATAAACATTTGTTGACCTCTCAGATGATTCCAGATCAGCTGCTGCCTTTGAGAGCAAAACCCTGACATCCTTTTTTCATGCTGTGTTCTGGGGTTATCAGCTTGATCCAGACAGAATTGTCCATGCTGGAAAAGAAAGCATCCACCCAGCCTTCTTTAGAGCTGATTTGGATATGTGTGTGTTTGGAGGCGGGGATTGCACTTTCTGAACTCAAAATGCATTCTTACTGGCCATACAGCTCTCTGATTATTCCACCTTGCATCTAGATCAGTTTTGCCCCATGGGATGAGGAGCACACATCTGTTCCCCACTTGTTTCCATATGAATCAGTCCTTAGATTTAGACATTTTTTCCTATTGTAACTGGAAAAAGTTATCCATGAGCTCTGGCTAGGGGAGAGTTCCTTGATGCCAGGAGTGGGGAGCCTGTGACCCTCCAAACACTACTGGACTCCAACCCCCCATCAGCCTCAGCCAGCAGAGCCAATGCTCAGGTATGATGGGAGTTGGAGTCCAACAACATTTGGAGGTCCACTGCTTCCCCATACCAGCTGCACACCATTAATAGCTCAGAAGTGAGCCCAGGAAACAAAGTAAGATTGTGTCTTGAATCCTATAACTTGGAGTGAGCCCCATTGACTTCAACCCTGAGTAGACATGTGTAGAATTATCCTGTTAATGGATCTCACTTTACACCAAAGGTGCTACAAATAAACCATCAGATGACTGACTTCTGCCATAACAGAACCCTAGGATGACAGAGAACTTGAATCCAAACCTAAATTTATAGTATGTCTTGAATTCCTCCTGCATAATAATGACAGTCTGGAAGTCATCCCATTCTTAGGGATGATTTAAAGTCTATAGGAATAATTCCCTTTAACCTTGTGAGAATAGGAACCTCCATTTTCTAAGACCCCACCATTGTTGTGCAGAAAAGCTTTCAGAGAAGCGTCCATAGATCACTTGGATTGTTCCCTTAGTTTTAATCCTTACTACAGGGTTGTTGTGAGTGGCCCAGAGTTAACACAAGGACTTAACATTAGTTCAGTGGCAGAGCTTCTGTTTAGCATAAGGAGAGCCATGCTGGATCAGACTAAAAGCCCATCTAGTCCAGCATTTGGTTCTCACAATGGTCAGCCAGATGCCTATGGGAATCCTGTAGGAAGGCCTGAGCACAACAGCGCTGAACGCCCTCTCCACTTGCAATTCTCAGCAGGTAGAACAAAGGGATAATGGCTAGTGGCTGTTGATTTGTTAGCAGCTGTTGGTTGTTCCATGGGCTACATACTTGATCCACACTGGCTCTTTAGCCACATTGCCTTGGTCACTTCTTGGTGCAAAGGGGGCTTAGAAAAATTGAGAGAAAATAAATGGTGTGTGTGTGAAAGAGAGACAGAATATACCTTATTTTAAAAATAAAATCTACACAAGATCTGAATGTTTAGAATTAACCTTCTGCTTTTATCCATGGGGCACAGTAGCCTAACAATGCTGTGCCGGTCCTCTTAGATGCAGCCTCAACATGAGAACTGGACCCTTGTGGAAGAGTTTGTCTTGCTGGGCTTCACAGGCATCAATGAGGGGCGCCTGCCTCTTTTTGCCTTCTTCCTGGTCATGTATTTGCTGACCCTGACCGAAAATGCCATCCTGGTCCTGGTGGTGGCAACAGAAAGGCGCTTGCACACCCCCATGTATTTCTTCCTCCTCCACCTTTCATGCCTGGACATGTGGTACACCTCCCTCACCGTGCCCAAGATGCTGGCCAGCTTTGGATCTCCTGGTGGTCGAATTATCTCCTATTCTGCCTGCTTGGCCCAACTTTACCTCTTCACCTTCTTGGGCAGCACTGAGTGCTTCTTGCTGGCAGCCATGGCCTATGACCGCTATGTGGCTATTTGTGTGCCTCTGCGTTACCAGGAGATGGTAGGCCGAGATGCTTGCATGCTTCTGGCTGCTGGCTCATGGCTAGTGGGGTTCCTCACTCCAGCACTGCCTATCTACTTCATGTCCCAGTTGACTTTCTGTGGCCCCAATGTTATAGACCACTTCTTCTGTGATGCTTCTCCACTCATTGTCCTCTCATGCACTGATGTCTCCCTGAAGGAGACGGTTGACTTCCTGGTCTCGCTGATGGTGCTCCTGGTTTCCTCTGTTGTCATTGTAGTATCGTATGTCCGCATTATCTCCACAGTGCTGAAGATTCATTCCGTCGGAGGGCGCCACCGTGCCTTTTCCACCTGTACTGCCCACCTGACAGTGGTGTCCATCTTCTATGGGACACTCTTCTTCATGTATGTACGTACTAAGGTGGCCTCATCGATCAACCTCAACAAGGTGGTGTCAGTATTTTATGCAATAGTCACCCCTGTGCTCAACCCCCTCATCTATAGCCTACGGAATGCAGAGGTGAAGGGGGCCTTATACAGGGTTATTTCCAAGACAAAGCAGCTTGCAACGTGACAAGAACGCAACCTGATTTCTTCGGGGGGGTTGGGGGTTGGAGGGATATTTTGCAGCATAAGCCATTCCTGAGAACCATCCTTAATAGCTCCCTTTGCTCCATTCATCTTGTTCCAATCCCAGTTTAGCTGAGGGATCACAGGTAAGCTGTCACCTTTTAACCTTAGGTTGGAATTTTTATAGATGGAAAACTATCTTACAGAATTGCTGTTGGTGCAAGATTGCTGTTGGCACGGTAACTGATCCAAATGAGAATCTACTCTAGAGTTATGGGCAGGAAGACATTTAACTGCATACTTATCCCCCCCCCCATTTTATTTTCTGAAGAAAATGTATAACAGCTACTACTAAAGAGAAAATAAAAAATCCATACATCTGTATCAAAATAACAGCTAATGATATTTCAACTGTTTAAACAAAAATAGCTGTACTGAACTCCTATCAACACTACATCACATTCTTCTCTATCACTTCAGCTCCATTGCTGCTTGCTCTGAGGAGTGATATAACAGTCCTAGAAATCTAAATAAGTAAATCCCTTCCCAGAGAAAGGCATGTATCTGTGAAACCGCTGAAAACACAGCTTTCTTATCCCTACATCTTACTGACTAGACCTGGTTTTCAGTTTGGACATTTAAACATTAATACAATGTAAGTTTAACAAGAATATAGCTATGTACATGGCAGCATTTCCTCCCTTTCAGCACGGGGCACAGTAAGCCATGAAGTCCCTGTGAAAACACTTTTATTATATTGGGTATTGGTGGAAGGAGTTCTGCTCCTTTCCACATGAACCCCACTCAAAAAGGAGTGGAAACAGTCCAAAGAAGATGGGAACTCCATTCTTTTCCCCTAAGATACTTGTGCATTTATGTGCTGCTGTCCCTGCCACTATTAACTGCTTAGAGTGGAATTCAACATTGCACTCTTCCCTTCTTTCCATTTCTGCTTGCCTGATTCAATGGCCCCCTCTCTCCTCCCACTGTGTGCTGTTCTGGGGTTATCCTGGACCCACTCCCAGTCAATTTCAAGGGGTGCAGAGGGAGGAGAGAAGAGAAAGCCCTGTTGCATAAGCAGAAGTCTTTGTGCAGGGCTTTTGTTGACAGGACTCATTTAATTAAATGTCACCTTTAATTTTTAGTATGCTCATTGTTTTTATTTCATTGTTGATGTTGTAAGCAATGCCGGATTAACGTATGAGCTAAACAAGCTATAGCTTAGGGCCCCACTCTCTTGGGGCCCCCCAAAATATTAAAGAAAAAAACACCTGGATGTACATTTGCAAAATATAAGAAAAAACAAATGAAATAAAACCTACGTACAGCAACAGTGTTTTGTGTTGTGTAGGCTCCTATGATGTAAGTAATGGGCCCCGTCTGCTAGCCTGCTCCCTACAATATCACTGGTTTGCTCATTTTTAAAGGAACTTTTGTTATTACCAAATGCCAATGTGTTTACATTATTCAGTTTGTTATGAATAAAAAATCATTTTACGTTAGAGCTTAATAATTATTTCACTATTAATATATTTCTTCTTAATTGTATTTCACTATTAATATACTTCTTAATTGTATTTCAGTTCAACAATTACTTTGATAAAATACATATTTTGTTATGTGCAAATGGCTTTACATACCTATTAGGTCGATAAATTGCCATATAGCATATATTTGACAATTTGTTGTTGACAAAGGACAGCTGGACATATAAAGGGCTCCATTACCTTCAGTAGCTTAGGGCCTCATCAAACCTAAATCCCGCCCTGGTTGTAAGCTGCCTTGGGTGTAGAGCACCAGTGAGAAACCACCTGGCTGAGAACCAAGGCCCCTCCTCCCATGTGGCCTACTACTACTACTACTACTAATAATTTATTATTTATACTCCGCCCATCTGGCTGGGCTTCCCCAGCCACTCTGGGCGGCTTCCAACAAAATATTAAAATACAATAGTTTGTCAAACATTAAAAGCTTCCCTAAACACTAGGTCTCCCCCCCTTTTTTTTTTGCCAAGACACGCTCACTTGCCTCTACAGCTGATGTCATACATGGCATCAAGTGTGGGCAGGTAAACAGATGGCTGGGCTGGGCTAACAGGGGCTTCTGAAGCAGAGATCAGCTGACCATCGGTGCTTCTAGGTGCTGTGCTCTTTACAAGGGGCTCTTTCTGGCTCCCCAGGCCTGGTGTAGATAAACAGAAAAGTGGGACAGAAACGCTTTTCCTAAATATACATGCTGTCCATTTGTAGCTCATGGAGCATAAGCAAAGTCTCCTTTGCGTGGAAGTTGTCTGCCCATAAGGTGGTCCCTGTTATTCTTCTTAGGGTGCAAGATAATGATGTAGCATTTGGGAAAGAAGAGGCAAGCCAGCAAACCAGCTCCAGAAGCCAGGATGGCGAAGATCTCCACGGCCACCGTGTACTTCCCTGTGGCACTGAGATAGGAGGGCACAAAGGAGACCCAGACGAAAGTGAAGACCAGCATGCTGATGGCAATGTGCTGGGCCTCGTTGAAAGCTGTTGGCAGCCGGCGGGCTGGGAAGGCCACCCCTAAGCTGATGGTGGCTAGAAAGCCCAGGTACCCCAGCATGGTGTAGAAAAACTCAACCGAGCCTTTGTCACACTCCAGGGTCACGAGAGGCCCCCCATGTAGTGGGTTCTGTGATGGGAACGGGGGGCAAACTGTTATCCAGCAGACACATACAGCAGCTTGGACAAGGGAGCAGCCCAGAGTGATAGTGCCAGGGAGCTTGTAACCCACCCACTTCTGGAGGCAGCTGCCAGGCTTAGAAGCTCCAAAGGCCATCACCACAGTCACCGTCTTGGCCAGGGTTGCAGAGAGGCAAATGGCAAAGACCAGGCCAAAGGCAGCCTGGCGGAAGGAACAAGTGAGCTGGGATGGGTGCCCAAGGTACATCAGAGGGCAGAGGAAGCAGAGAGCCAGGGAGGTCAAGAGGAGGTAGCTGAGCTTGCGGTTGTTGGCCTTGACAACTGGGGTGTGGTGATGCTGTATGAAGATACCCAAGACTGACAGCGAGAGCAAGAAGAACAGGGAACTGCAGGTTGCCAGCACCACACCCAAAGCTTCCGTGTAGGACAAGAAGTCAAAGATGGTTGGGATGCACCTGTCTTGCTGCTCATTGGGCCATTGTCCTGGAAGGCACTCCCAACAGGTGGCACTGTCTAGAAGGGAGGAGCATGCAGAACAGGGGTGTTCACTGTTCTGGTGTATTAAATAAGGCAGGTTTTCTTTTAAAGGCAGGGATGGAGAATCTGTGGCCAGTGGTGGAGCTTCATGCTCCGGCACTGGGGGGGGCAGAGAGCAGGCAGGGGTGGGGCTGGCGCGTGTCCCGGGGGCATGGCACGCCACCTGTGCGGGTGTGGTGTCCAGCACGGGTGGCGGGGCAGCTGCAATGGCACCCCACTGGGATCATATTTAAGAAGTGGTCCTTTTTACCACTGCTGTCCAGAGTGTGACCTCTAATGCATGCATCATGCATACTGTCTTGGGTACTGGGGGTGGGGATGTGGCTGGGGAGGCTGCCCGCCCAGTGGTAATCATCAGCCACTGAAAACCCAATGTCTGTTAAAGTGGTGTTTACCTGTTCCACTGGCAAACTGACCCTGGGGGCACTGCAGACAGCTGTAGCAGCAGTGTGGCTTCCCCTGCAAAGGCAGCTTCCTATATCCAGGCAGGCAGCTTTCTGAACAGATTGAACGAGGCACCTAGGAGGAAAAAGGAAATGGAAGACTGCTTACCTTCCCCAGGAGCAGTGACATTGCGGGACCGACACTGTCTCACATGATGAGATCAGATGATGGGTCAGTTGCTGGCCGGAAGGGGAGGTCAGCAAGCCTTCCTCACTGGCTAGAGCTATGGATTCAAGCCTGCCCAAAAACTGGCCTATCGTAGGCAGGCTGCAGGGAAAGGCCATTCACAGGAGGCAGACCCAACTCAGCCTGTAGGCTTCACTTGGGTCTGCTCTTTGGGAATATAAAGCAGCCTGCCTCCAGCCTTCTCAGCCACTTTGCCATTAGATTCAATCACTCAGTCAATCAATCAATCAATCAATCAATCAATCAACCAACATAGTAATAAATTAAACCTTATCAAGTGTCAACCAGTGCATGATTATAAAGTAAGTAAACCATATTTTTAAACTTATTTCCCAAGTTGTTGCCTTATTATTTATTAAGTGGGGTAAGAAGGGGGATGCGTTTGCAGTGTGGTGCAGTGGTTAAGAGCGGTAGATTCGTAATCTGGGGGACCGGGTTTGCATCTCTGCTCCTCCACATGCAGCTGCTGGGTGACCTTGGGCTAGTCACACTTCTCTGAAGTCTCTCAGCCTCACTCACCTCACAGAGTGTTTGTTGTGGGGGAGGAAGGGAAAGGAGAATGTTAGCCACTTTGAGACTCCTTCGGGTAGTGATAACGCGGGATATCAAATCCAAACTCTTCTTCTTCTTCTTCTTTGAAGCTGGACTTGCTCAAAACAAGGTTTTACAGCCTAATTTCTAAGCTTTAAATTTTTGTTGGCAAGGGTGGGATTTTAAAACTCTGATCAACCTGTGTAGGAGCCTGGAGGGGTAAATTGCAATTAACATACCCTTTCCTGCCCATTAAAACCCATCCCACAAAGAGAACCCCCTCAAACTGAACATGCAGGGTGGAGAAGGGAGAACAGTCTGCCTAGTAAGCAGAAATGCTTTTGTTTGCTCCATAATTTCTAGGCCTGATGTTACCTCATTAGAGAAGGGAGATAGGGAGAGGGTCAATACAAGTAAGGAACGTACCTGAGCAAGGCCCCCTGCCCACCTAATGGCATTGTCATGAATCAGAAGCTCTTTCCTCAGCTGAGGTCTGGAATGAAGAACTCCAACTTTTACAGCCCTGTAAGAGCCATTGGGCAAAATCTGCAAGTTCATAATATCAAATGTAGCCGGAATCTCACCGTTCTTGAAAAAAATCTCATCTGATGCAGTGGTAAAGTTGATATTCTTTAGGTAATGATGGACCTAAAATATCAGGAGAAAGGGAAGAAGTGGTTGTTTCTATAGGTAGCTGATTGTGTGTGTGTGTTTGCTTATATAACCTGATTAATTCAGATGATGATGATGAGAATAATAATAATTTTATTATTTATACTCTGCCCCAGCCACTCTGGGCGGCTCACAGCACATATAAAAACATAGTAAAACACGAAACATTAAATAGCCTTGACAGGAACAGGCATCAGGGAACCAACAGAAATGTGTTTTCCTACAGGGAAAGCATTACATGTTTTTTATCCTACTATATATTTTAGAAAGTGGTTTGTCTTTCTGCCCATCTGTTTTTGATTCATCTGATCACCTCTTGAGATATTGTTGCCAAATTTGACATGATAATTCCCAAGATGCAGGCACCTGTTTTGGTTTACGTTTGGAATTCAGGTGCTGAGTCAATACGTTGGACCAAAACATCTCAAACTTCACCAGTTTGGACACCTCTGAAGATATTGCCACCCACTTTGGAACAATGGTATTGCAGGAGGCACCCACCAAGACTGCAATCCTGCTGGCTGAAGGGGTCTGCCTTGCCATCACATTACCTGCAGTTTACATTGGCAAAGTAGCACCCAGAAGAGCTAAAGTCTCCTGTTTTCTGCAATGTGCTCCAGAGGAGAAGGAGACACAGCATCTCCTTCCTTCTCCCTGTTTCCTACCATATAGGTTTCTGAAGACCCTAACTGATTTGAGGCTGAATCCTGATTGGATGTTCCCCAAGTCAACCCAGGTCAGGTGGCAGGCAGGGGATATGGAGAGCTCTAGAAACTGATAAACAGGCTGGAGAATTTCAGAAGGCCATTTTCACACAACTCTCGTATCAAGCAGGTGTGGCTTACCATTTATTTTTTTAACAACAGTTATACGCTACTTGATTGTAATAGAGCATCAAAGCAGTTTATACAATAAAAGCGGGGAAATAAAATTATTAATAAAAGACAGTCAAAAACAGGTATTTTAAAAACATTCAAAACTAATTAAAATCAACAGTGGGCTAAAAACCGATTGAAGCACATATAACTTCTACACGTCTGGAAGTTGCTTGGTTTACCCAAGTCACTCAATAAGAACCAGTGGCCTTGGAGTTCTTTCTCCCTTCTGCGTCCTGATCCCTCAATATGAGATTTATTGGTGCAACATAGAAAAGTCAAATGGCCCAACCCGAAGCCACCTTAAGATCTGGGCATATGTTGCACTCATTCATATTGAAGATCCCAGTCCTGAGCTGTATTAAGTGGTACAGACTGGATAGGAAGATATCTAACTGAGACAAGTGGAATGGATGGATGGACTGGTTTTCTCTCCGGTTGTATTATAGCTGACCCCAGTGTGCATGTGTTTGCACATTTCCACTAAGCGGGCAGGGTGGGTCGGGGAGGCATGCTTGGTTTGAGTTCTTGCCCCATGTCCTCTCCCTGGCCCCCTACTCTGCCAAGAATATTGCTCCTTGCTAGCAATGTTTTCTTGTAACTTTTAGGACATTCAAGACTTCTAAAGTTCTTCCAACCTAGAACCCAGTTCTGCTGAACTCTACACAAGCAGCAACTGAGTCTAGACAAGAAGAGGAACAACTGACTCACTTGCCATGGCTGGAAATCCTTCGTTGTAGCACACCTTCCATGGGTGAAGGGTCCTTTGTCACATATGCAGGAGATCATGTTGTGGTAGGCTGTGATGAAGGCCCTGGCTGCAAGATAGGCCTGATATGTGGCAGCCCAATTCTCTAGATCAAAGAGGAGCAAGTGGCTGGCACCCACCTGCTCTACCCCAGTGCAGAGTCGGGGTGTGTTTTTTCCATCAGTTTTTTCTAAACCTGGCCAAACACAGTCAAACAGATTTTGCCAGAGCACTTTCACCAAATGGCTGTTGGGATAAGCAGCAGGGCTAAGCGTGGTCAGGAAATGATCGAAACCTGAAATTTTATCCGAATGAATCCTCAGATCCAGGCTCCCATTCAGGAGCTGTAAGGCCTCCTTGGTGAACATCTCTGGGATCACAGCAAGGCTCGTTGTCAAGATCCACGTCTTACCAGTAACGTTTTGTGCTTGTAGAGCACCGGCAAGCAGCTGGAAGTGGATGTTGTAGCAGTGGCACACGAAAACACTTGCTAGTGAGTTCCCAATGTCCCTAGCAGCTGCACTCATCTCCAGCTGGGAATAGGGGTCATGGATTGTTTTGGACAGGGCAAGGCAGCCCCCTGTCTGGCCCAATTCCTTCTTCAAAACGGTCTCCATCTGAGCAGCATCGCTGCCAAAACTCACCACACCCACCCATGTCCAGTTGAAGTGCTGCAGAAGCTGGCAGAGCATAGAGGGCTGGTGGCCGCTGGAAGGCACGGTGCGAAGGAATGATGGGAAATGGAAGTGGTCAGAAAACTTGGGATCTTGAGAACCATGGCTGATCTGAGGGATAAAAGAGGGAATCATGGATTCTCTTTCAGTATTTTGTACCTTATTCCTTACTGCCTGCTCTCTTCAGACTTATCTGTCATAACTTGCCATTCTGTCATGGATTTTTAATAAAGCATCCTTTTCATAACAGCGTTTTTAAAGAATACACAAGGAAAGGAGATACACAGTAGTTGAACATCACCATCATTCTCAATAATAAATTGAATAATGTTTCCATATAGCTCAGCAGTGGAGCATCTGCTTTGCCTGTGGTCCCACTTTTAATTCCAGGCATCTCCAGTCATTGTTGACAATACTGAGCTATATGGACCAATGGTCTGACACAATATAAGGCAGATTCCTGTGTTGCTAAGTGACTACAGTAGGTAAATATGGCACATGGAGCAAATGGGCACTGTCCTTGCTCAAAGGAGATACGATGGCTGAGAAAAGTAGAGGCTACAGAGTTAGAGAAAGGGAAAACAGAATATAAGGCACTGAGTCAAAAGAAAGTAAGATGAAGAAAAAGTAGCACTTTTGAAAAAGGAAACTTCCCAGCAGTTTTTTTAAAAGTGTTGAGATGAAAGCAGTGCAAATATCAGAGCTGAACTACACATTACACACACACAGATATGCAATGGAATCCACCAAGCCTTCTCCCTCTTCTTTTTGTTCTTTAGGAAAATTATTTTGGAGCAGGGTGTGTGTGTGTGTGTGTGTGTGTGTGTGTGTGAGAGAGAGAGAGAGAGAGAGAGAGAATATTCTTAATCATTTTCCTGCCCACTACTTTTCCCCTCCTGCCTGTGCTCTGTTATCTGTGTTTGCATGTAATGTAAAGTCAAAGGGAACGTAATGACATTAATAAAATGTTAAAATAGATGGGTATGGGAAAAGCCTGAGGGAAGATGGGGTTTGTACAAGATTATTAAGTTCCAGGAGAATGAAGAGGGTGAAAAAGAAAATTGAAGGAAGATGAGTAGGAGAGATGTAAAAGGAAGAATAAATATTGTATAGTGATTGCAAAGATGGAGAAGGAACTTGATGAAGATAGAGGAAAAATAAGTTGGGGATGTTAGATGCTAGCAAAATAAGTCAAAGGATTAAGCTGTTATGTTGCACTCCTAAGCACACCTACTGAGGAAGGAGCTCCCCTTGAATTCTGTGAGCCTTCTGAATAAATATTAATAGAACTGCGCTGCACACATTTAGGATGAAACATGTCAACAGCTATAACAGGACAGCATCACGTAACAATATTATGTTGACTGACATTACAGGCAGGCAGGTATATAGATTGTGGCATGGTACACCTAACAAACTTATTTAAAATCTGTCACCTGCATCCCTACATTACCAGGAAGCACAATAATACAGAAGCCGAGGCTGGTCAGCTGAAATCTGTCTTCTGTTTCCATTTCATCCAGTAATTCCTGCAGCACAGAGTTGCTTTATTTACATTCTCTGTTCAACTATGTGAGTTGCCAGTATCTTTTCTCTCTGTGTGTGTGTGCTGACCAGAGTGTGGAGATGTTCAGAGAGCTTGGAGCACCCTGAGCAGCTCTGCAGACTCCACCTGTGCCATAGACAGTACTGACGAAATGTTCCTTATATTTAGCACCCAGGGTATGATGAAATTAGTTAGCAAGGACACTTTCCCAATTCTTAGAATGAGAGATGGAGATTTCATTTTGAAGTTGGAAGAAGATTTTGATAGGAAAGTCCAAGGTCTCTATCCATCACACAGACAAAACTTCCTGCTTACTTAACACATTCCAGCTGTAGAGACAACGAAAGCTGGGGAAGCACACAAATGTGTGTGCATGTGTATATGTTTACAGCAATTCTTACAATTACCCTGTCAAACCCATTTGATTACTTTTTGTAAACTGAGACCATCTAGCAGGATATATAATTGATTTTCCTAGGTACGCTGCTTACCTGAGGGACTCTGTAGAGGGAAAGCACTTGTGCTATGGGCTCTGACTCTGGAGAAGTCATTGCGCCAATGATACCGAGAAGCAAAGGCCGAGAGCTGCAGCTGAAGTTAGGCACCAGTTCTTGTGGGCCTGATAAAAAAGAAAGGGCACCTTTCAGTGCTTTGGCTGGTGAGATGCATGAGTCATAAAGCTGGAGGCCCAGGGTGATATTCTGTACTAAGCCGGGGTCCTTATTTGCTTCTGAAAGGGCAAAGAGAATGGCCAGAGTGTGCTGGAAAAACCGAATGCGGAATCTGAAAAAGAAGTTTTGAGCACAGTTGGTATTTGTCTGAGCAGATGTTTATCAGAAGATCCACCCCGCGCCCCACAGAAGAAATGGTCATTTAAGCACAAGAATTATTCTTCAATGCAACCTCCTTCTCTAGGTCTAGCATGAATTTGATCCTAGTAAACTTGTGACTTTCTCCCTTTCAAATGAGAAAATGTTTGAGAGAAGGCATGGGTGAGCTTACTCATGTGTGCAGTGTGCAGTTATAATGCTCCTGCTCTGAGACTCCCGTCCAAGCTGAAGAAAGGGAGCACAAAAAGTCACTTTCTAGAACCTCAATTTGAGCTCTAAGGTTAATGATAGCCAGCATAATGACGTGTGTGGAGAGGTTTGAGTGTATTGGACAGAAGAAGAAGAAGAAGAAGAAGAAGAAGAAGAAGAAGAAGAAGAATAGTAGTAGTAGTAGTAGTAGTAGTAGTTTGGATTTGATATCCCGCTTTATCACTACCCGAAGGAGCCTCAAAGTGGCTAACATTCTCCTTTCCCTTCCTCCCCCACAACAAACACTCTGTGAAGTGAGTGGGGCTGAGAGACTTCAGAGAAGTGTGACTAGCGCAAGGTCACCCAGCAGCTGTATATGGAGGAGCGGAGGCGCTAACCCGGTTCCCCAGATTACGAATCTACTGCTCTTAACCACTACACCACACTGTGTTGTACTTTGACAAAGTAGCCTGCATTTTACTCCCAGTTCATCCGTGACTTGGGCCAGTCACAAGGCTCATCCAGACATCTTATTTTTGCTGCATTTCTGGGCACAGGTCCAAACTTTAAAGCTCCATGACTGAGCATTGTTTTTCTTTGTTTTGTCCCTGTGCTTTCTCCAGAAAAACCCACAATGCCACAAATGGCAATGCAACCCAAAAGGCAGTCTGGATGAGCCCCTCAGCCTAAACCTTCACAGAGCTGCTTTGAAGATAAAATGGGATAGCTCCTACAAAAGTCACCTTAGAGCATTAAAGTGATAATGCTCTTCATATGTTGTTAGACTCCAAATACCATTACCCCAGTCAGCATAGCCAATCGTCAGGGACAGGGATGATGGGAGTTGTAGTCCAACAAGAGGTTCCCCATCCCATTCTTAGACTGAGACATAAATGTAATCTTACAGCATAACCTGATTAATGTCTACTCAGAAGTAAAACCCACTTAATTCAATGGGAACTGCTTTCAGACAAGCGTGCATTGGATTGCAGCCTTAGTCTTTCTGGCAGTAGAAGAAGACAGTGTTTCCTTTACTTTTTGTAACAGCCACAGGTTTTTCTTCCATTAATTCTTCTTTATATCCGTTAATTTCCTCCATCGTAAGGAATGTACTGGAAGTGAGACTTACCCCTTGCAGCTAGCTGCCTGTGGCAGACTTTTGAGATGTGTTATTGTGGAGTGCACACTTGCATGGACAGGGGAGACTACCCCAATTACCACATCTCCTTGAACTGAGAAATCTGGCATGGCAGCAGACATCTGGGAGTGGCCTTTAAGCCATTTGTTGTTTACTGAAGAAGCTTCCCAGAGCAGAACAGTAAAAGCGAGTGCAAGGAAGCCTATGGTATTCATTTTCCAGTGGATGGCAGTGTATAGGATCAGCACTGGGAGAAAGTGTTCCACACGGAGGTCAGGTCTGTGCTCCCCTTGAAATGCTACACAAGGTGAGCAAATCCTCTCTCAGGTGTTGATCATCCGTCCATTGAGAAGCTTCTTAAAAGCTGAGCACACTGGCCTTCCTTGAAGATAATAGCTGAGCTTTCCACAAGAAGGCACACAGAGAGGAACTACCCAGTCTCTGGATAGTGAATTCAATTAACTTCTTTGTTGCGCTATGCATGTCCTTCTTGGTCCATTAACCTTGCTTCATGTGTTCAAAGTGTGCAGTGAACACAGTCATGACATATAGTACATATATGTCTCCAGGATATTGTATTTCTTCTGTGCTTCTTTATGAAAGCAACTTCTTCCAAAACATCAAACTTACCTCTTTGGGGCATAGCATAATCAATGAAAAGTCTATAATTAAACTAATTATATATCTATATATCCCCCTCCCAAACTAATTATAACTTTGAGTCAAACTTCCTCTATCTACTATATATTTAGAAAACTGTTTGTTTGCTCTGCATTTGAATACCTCTTAGGATATCAAAGACAACTTTTGCATGATGGTTCCTGAGATCAAGGAGCAGGTTTGGATACAACTGGGCGCCATTTTGAATCAAGATGGCAGACCGCACCTTTAAAAACTGCAGTGATTTTAATGGAATACTCAGGATGAAACGGTGAAATCTGCTATGATTAAATGGGCACAAGATGTTGGACATAATATTATGTTTGCTGACTGGGAACAGTTATGGACCACAGGTATGAAGTTTACGGCATGTAATGCCCTAAGAGAGAATATTATGAAAATGATATACAGGTGGTACATGACCCCAGTCAAGCTTGCAAAAATCTATCATTTGCCCGACAATAAATGCTGGAAATGTAAAGAAACTGAAGGTACATTCTTTCACCTTTGGTGGACGTGCCCAAGGATTAAGGCTTTCTGGGAAATGATATATAATGAACTGAAAAAGGTATTTAAACATACCTTCTTGAAGAAACCAGAGGCCTTTCTCCTAGGCATAGTCGGCCAACTGGTGCTAAAGAAGGACAGAACTCTTTTTATGTATGCCACAACAGCAGCAAGAATACTCATTGCAAAGTATTGGAAGACACAAGACCTACCCACTGTGGAAGAATGGCAGATGAAGCTGATGGACTATATGGAACTGGCTGAAATGACTGGCAGAATCCGAGACCAGGGAGAAGAGTCGGTGGAAGAAGATTGGAAGAAATTCAAAGATTATCTACAGAAATATTGTAAAATTAATGAATGTTAGAATGATGTTGGATAGTAATTAAGTGGTTTCCAGCTGTAATGCTTTAAGGGAATATGAAAAAGGGGTTATAAATAGGCAAAAATCTAATATTATTACTTTTAAAGGATTTGCTGAACCAACAGATTGAAGTGGAATACAAAAAAGGGAGGTATGAGGAGGTCCGGGAAATAAGTCAAAGGAAAATAAGTAATGGAAAATCTGTGTGTTTGTAACTATTTTTATTTTGTATTTTTGTTATTTTTTTTCCTTTTTCATTTTTATTGTAATATTTTAAAAAATCTTAATAAATATCTTATAAAAAAACAACTGCAGTGATTTTAACAAAATTTTGCTTCACAGTTCATGAGATTAAGGAGCAGGCTTTTGCTTATGCTTGGATACAACTGGGTGCCTTTTTAAAAAAAAAATCAAGATGGCAGATCTGCTCTAATTTTTTATTTCCCTAGAATTCCCAAGCAATGGGGGTACAAGGCTGCTATTTATACCTTGTTGTGTTTTATAATAATCACAGACAGCCATCAGGATCCGAAAAGGAGAAAAGGAAACAACAACTAACTCGTCCTTCTAACTAGCAGCTGAGTAGCTGATTGGCAAGGGTGTCCTACTGCAATAGCTCTAGTAAACCAGGTTCCTCCAGGACGCTGAGATTGTTGTTATTCTCTTGGTTCTGTGTCTTATATAAAGGCATTCCCTCACCTAGATAAGAACAAGGTGGTGTAGAAGTAAATTCTTACCACACCATCAAATTATAAAATGTATTAATTTAAATATGTATTTAGCATTGGGGTATATCTTTAGCACTAGGTTAGTAATAATGGACTGGTTTGGGGGCACATGGGGAAGAGAGGGAGAGACTGTCAAGGAACAGTGGTTTGCAGAGGGACATAGTTCAGAAGGCAGAAGCTGGGAAATACTGGAACAGCTAGGAGGAGAAACACTGGAAGAGAGAGGGTTAACAGATTCACTGTCTCTGGAAAGCATTCCTCTGCTCTCCCCAAGGTCAAGAAGAGCTCAGAAAGTGGCAGAACAGAAAGCACACAAAGCACAGAGGGTACAAGCTCTGATTGCAAGACATAGAAATGAGACTTAGATTAATAGGGATGTAAGGGGATGGGAAACGGGTGGTGCTGTGGGTTAAACCACAGAGCCTAGGACTTGCCGATCAGAAGGTCGGCGGTTCGAATCCCCACGACGGGGTGAGCTCCCGTTGCTGGGGCCCTGCTCCTGCCAACCTAGCAGTTCAAAAGCAAGTCAAAGTGCAAGTAGATAAATAGGTACCGCTCCGGCGGGAAGGTAAACGGCATTTCCGTGCGCTGCTCTGGTTCACCAGAAGCGGCTTAGTCATGCTGGCCACATGACCCGGAAGCTGTCTGCAGACAAACGCCGGCTCCCTCGGCCTATAGAGCGAGATGAGCGCACAACCCCAGAGTCGGTCACAACTGGACCTAATGGTCAGGGGTCCCTTTACCTTTACTTTAAGGGGATGGGATCCTTAATTGGGAGCACCACCATGTCTAGGAGATGTGTTATTTGTTCTCTCACTGGGTTTATTAAAGTTTCTAACTGGTAAGAAGACTCATTTTCCTTTGTCCTGCCTATCTACTGCCACAGGGAAGAAAGCCAATTCCCTGAAGCCTGACACCAACCCTGGAAATCGTTTGGGGATGCTGACTGTCCTGTCCTGAACCTGCCTGCCTACCTGAGGGCAGTCAGTGCACATGGTGGTGGTGGCTGGCCCCAGAGGGTGAGGGCCAAGAAGGGCACCCAGCAGAACTGGTGCCAGGATGGGGGCGCAAACGTGTGGTGGAGGCAGGGAGAAGGCACCTCCTGGCTTGTGTCACTGGTCAATCAAAGGCTGCC